AGAAGGATAAAATGCTACTTGAGTAAATAGGGAGTGCAGAGAAAGCAACTTTCAAAACTATAGAAGTGACAGGAACCTCTGGCTACATGGACAGTCACCCCAAGGTTTCTCAGCAACACTGGATCATCCGTCTTCAGCCTACAGGACTAGAATATCTTACAGACTTTTCTGTAAAGTGGGAATTTTGAAGGACTGTCCTACCTTGTCTTGGCGATGTTCAGTAGTCAACTTTTTTGTGTCCTGTGTGTCCAGTTTGAACAACATACAGTCAGCAGTCAAGGCAAGGGCAGCTCCTTACCTAAATAGCTAACTTTTGCCACAAAGAAAGAAAACTCCTTATAGAGGTTCTTCAATACCTGTCATCATTTTTTCAAGTAGATTGATGCTACCAGGAGCAGATAGTGCTCACTGACAAGAAACACCTTATTTTATTATAATATATTAAATGCCATACTCTGTAGGTCTTTGAAGTGTTTGAAGACCATCTGTCTATCTAAAATATATTTCTGTATGACCTTGAAAACATACCTAACAAGGCCATAAGTTTGATTGTAATGGTGCAATACATTAAACAAGAATAGACACATGTACAATATTAAGAAAATAATCTTAAATATGTATCAACATGCAAAAATTCATAGCAATGTAAAATATTTGAGACTTGTGGTTGTTCGAAAGTAAACTCAACAATCCACCCTTTTATTCAATCCTTTCTATACTATATCCCCCTTTTCTCTTCAGAAAGAAATCTTGAATCTAATATCTTCTGTTTAGTTTTTTTTCTTGACCATGACCAATAACAATTTTTAACCAATACCCCTAAACAATGACAAACATCTATAACCCATCAAATGACCCAAAACCACCCACCCTACCTCCTGAGAATGTGGGTGTCTGTATTCTCTAGACTGCTTCTTGTTGTCTGTGGACAACAATATCTTTATAAAACCCAAGAAAATTGAAATAAAAGTCAAGTCTTGGGAAAACTAACCATAGAATTTGTTGTTCAGTCTCTATACAATGGGAAAGTGTAAGGCTTATTTTTAGTCCTAGCTAGAATAGTCAGTGAGGCTGGACCACCTCAGCCTGGAAGCTGTTCTGAATGCAGAACTCTGAGAAAACTGCAACAGAGGCATTCTGAAAGGCTGGATCATCTGGGCCAGCTGTTTTCATCACTGTCTGGTCACCTTGATCTGTAAACATGCAAATTTTCGAAGGTAACATACATAGCTGCATTAACACAAGTATGGACTGTGCATTGTACACAGCCATCCAAGGATGATTTTTTTGTTTTGTGTTTGAGCAGGTAAAATATACATCTCCTGTCTTGTATTTTTTTAGGATTTTTTTATGTCTGCAGCTGGGATTTTCAGGGGCTCTCATCCAGTTAAACCTGATCCCCTTAAACCTTGAACGAATCCACAGCCTTTTGTTCTCCCTGGAAACAAGAGCATAACCTCTTTCCCAAAGTAATATGTTTTTGTCTTCCATTTTAAAGTCAAGTCGTTCCTAAAATATCTAGGCTCATTTAATTCAGCAGCCCCTTTCACAATCCATTGTCTCTCAGCAGCTGCCATCTCTGCTCATTAGCATTTGAAAATTCAAATCTGTAAGATGCCATATAGGATCTGGACTCCATAAATTTTCCATCTTTACATGGCTTACCCCTTTTATATCATTTTATTCTCTGTTTAAAGACTTTATCTTATTATTTATAAACTATTTTTTCTATGAATGCCTATACCCATTTTCTTTTATTTTAAGCTTATGCGCATGTTTTTAAACACACTGTAACCTTGTTTAGAGGTTTTTTTTCCCATCTGGATCTTTCTTTACTAAGCCCTGTGAGACAAATCTTAAACTGCTATGTCACCTGTACACAGCTCGGTTTAGCACATGGTGCTGGATGGCTCCAGCCTGCAGGCAGTGGCCACCAAGCCTACCTAAAATATCATGGTCACCAGGAAGCCACTTTTGATTCTATGTTCCAAACTTTTTTTTAGACTTTCTTAGACCTTATGATGACATATGTGGCCTGGTGTGGGGTGCCGTATGAAGACAAATTTTTCTTTGGGCTGCCATCTCATAAAGAAACAAACAGACACAGACTTATTACTTGTAAAAAGCTCGGCTTGTTCCTAATTAGTTCTTATAACTTAAATGAACCCATTTTTTAAAAAATCTACATTCTTTTATGTGGCTCAGCTACTTTTACTCTGTATTCCCCATCCTCTCCATGTGACTGGTGACTCTGCCTTTCTTCTTCCCAGATCTCTGTCCCGGGAAGTCCCTCCTATCCTCTTCTTGCCTAGTTAGTGGCGGTTCACCTCTTTACTAAACCCATCACAGGGACACATCTTCACATAGTGTAAAGGAATATTCCACAGTGCTGTGGAACTCACACTCTGGTAAGGAAGACCACTACTGTAGAGAGAAGCCTTCTCCTTGCCAGCAGCTTTGGTTTTTCCCCACCAGTCGCCTGGGCTCTGCCACATTGTAGTCCCCAAATAACACACAAGACTCTGTATTAATTATGAAGCTGTTGGCCTTGCTTGTTTCTTACTGGCTATATCTGACTTAAGTATTTACCCCATAATTGTTAATCTAAGTCTTTCTCTTACCGGAGAATAGTTCCGAACTTCTTATCCCTATGGCGGCTACATCGTGACTCACTGTGTTTCTCCTATCCAGAGTCCTCCTGGACTCCTAGTCCCACCTATCTTGCTTCCCTATTGGCCAACAGTGCTTTATTGACATATACCCAAGACTTCCGCATCACACTACCGCGTATGTAAACATGAATAGAGAAGGCAGTTATGGACTGTGTTCAGTGATAGGAAAGAAGTAAGAAGAATATGACCATGGAAGGGGTAGCGTCTCTGTCCAGGTTGGTAGACAGTCTGTCTTTGTAACGCTGCCCATACTGCATCTTCAGAAGCATAAGCTCCTTCAGCTCCTGTCTTTGAACCTGGCTATGTGGAAAGAACATGAGGCTTTCTTTTCTGTAGTCTTTGTAGTCTGAATACCAATGGTGATGACATTCATCAACACTGTTATGCCGAATTGCCACTCCCTGGGTATCTTCAAACTGCTCATCTGTTATTTGATGCTCTCAGGGTCAGAGTCTGACATTAAAGTGCTGGTGGTCCCTGTACTCCTGCTGGAGGCTGTCTGGGACAATCAGCTTTGTTGGGGTTGCAGTCTTCTACAGGACATCTACTTGCTGTGGTCTATGGCTCTTCCCTCTTTTCCGAGCCTACAGTATAGAATCTCCACCTCCTCCGTCTGATTCTGAGTGTCCTGTGATTTCATGAAGCCTACTGTGTAATCCAGAAGAAGTGTCCATTTACAGTCCTTAATAGAGACACATCTGGAAGCCTGTATTGATGTAGATTAACATATTTAGAGGTTCTAGAAATTTGGTTGCCCTTGCAGGAAGATAATTATCCAGCCTATCTCAGTAAGCTACAAGTGTTAATTTCATTCCCATTTCCATTAATTTTGCTTTACAGGCGAAAGACTTAAAAGAACAAGAGAATTGCATAAAGTCACATGTTTAGCTATAGGCTGCGAATGAGGACATCCCAACTGCACAGATTATCCCTCTCTTCTCTTTTCTTTTCTAACTACTTTCTGTTTGCATTTATTTGATCTATTTCCTTTTTCCGTGAAGGCAAAGAGCCACATCACTTTGTTTTTAGTTTTTTTAACTTTTTTTTAAAAATAATGATTTTTCATTTATTTTGCATACTGACCTCCGTTTTCCCTCCCTCCTCTCCTCCCTTTAGTCAGTCCTCCCAATCCCCTTCCCTCTATTCTCATTCACTTCCACTCCTCCTCTGTCTCCATTCAGAAAGGGGCAGGCCTCCCATGGGCTTGAAAAAAGCATGGCACATCAAGTTGAGGCAGAACCAAGCTCCTCCCCTTGTGTCAAAGCTGGGCAAGATAATCCAGCATGGGGAACAGGCTCCCAAAAGCTAGATAAGCACCACGAACAGGTCCTGATCCCACTGCTAGGAGCATTTTCAGAGAGAGAGAGAGAGAGAGAGAGAGAGAGAGAGAGAGAGAGAGAGAGAGAGAGAGAGAGCCACATCACTTTTTGTCACCAGAACATGCCTATCTCACAACCATATACTTGGCACACCATGTTAACATGTCCAAAACATTTATGAGTGGGGGGGGTGGGAGGAGATGGGGGTGGGATGAATATTCAAATCCAGTGTCCCACAAATCATTTTATTCATCACCTTATGGCCAGTTATAGACCCCTGGGCACCTTTAAAGCATCAAAATAAAAAACAATTATAGTGTTGAGCCATAGTTTAAGGTGGTGAAGAAGACATGGTTGTCCACTCCTTTGGGGTGCTCAGCCTCTCAGCGTGGTGTGCTGTAAAGTGCATGTAGTCTCCCCTGATGACAGTTCTTTGTATATTGTTGTGTTGTTAGCACAGTCTACAGGGGGAGCCTCTGAAAGGCTGCTGTCTTTCACTTCGTCATTAGAGGAAGAAGGAAGCCAAGAAACGTAACTGCGTGCTTCTCTTTTGAATTTATTAGAGAGATTATAAAGGAAGAATAATGAAATAGATAAGTGCCACCAAGCCATACAAGTGGCACTTTTATGGGTTGCCTTGTCAAGCTGTATGGCTCTTAAGTAAGAAAATACAGCATTAAGAAGCATAGCTTCACAACCTGGAGAATGAATTCTTAGCTTCAAATGAAAGTACCTTTCTCTAAACAGCTATATAAAAGCAATCTGAATAAATCACCTTTTGTGATTCTGGAAGACAAATTATGTTTATGACATGAAGGTGTTTTACTTACTTTGTCTGGACTAGTGTCACCTATTTGTATGACATCTTTTTCTTAGGAAGTGATGAACCTGCCACTCAAGGTTTTGTTGAAACTGTGTGCATAGAAAGCCAAAGAGAAACACCTCCCTCACTGTGTTGTTCTCCAGTCCAGCTGCTTAGCCCACTTTAATGTATGTGCTTTGCTTCTAGTGGCCAAGGATGTCAATATTCTTTTTGATGAATTAGAGACTGTCAACAGCCCTTGCAAAGATGATGATTCCCTCCTACACCCTGGAAACCTGACCAGTACTTCAGAGGACGCCAGCAGACTAGAAGCAGGGGGAGAGGTAAGAGTTTGCATGACTTTCTGGAAGAGTAGTGTTTCAGGTCAGAACCTGGGAGGCATTCCAACAGACCATTCGGAGCTGAATCCCATCCAACGGCAGGCTTCTGGGAAGCATGGTTTATATGTCTGTGCTGCTCCATGACTCTAGCACATCTCAAGGATCTGAAATGAATGTGTGCTCAAAACTTAAAGGTCGAGCTTGTATTTGCAGTCTCACATCTAGAGATGTTTAATGTATACAGAGGAGGATTGTCCCCAACTGCCCATCATTCTGTGATGTAGTCTAAGTGCTCCTAACTAATGGAAAGAAACTGGACAAGGATGAACGTTCCAGTATAAACCCCTGAGCCTACAAACTAGCAATGTAAAACACACCAGCTTTTCAGGACATGGTTATCTGAGGTCTCTGTGAGTTTCCATTTGCCTCCTCGATAAATGGGAGACTTTGTTGTGTTTTGTGTGGATGTTCACTGTTGCTCAGGCCATGTCTCAATGAGATTTAATATTTCTTTTAATATGTGCCACACAGAAGTGAGAGGAACATAGAGGTGAAGTCAACCATTGATTGCCTCTACCCTCTGCTTTCACTTTTCCCAGCCAATTACCCATTGAAAGGATGACACCTTTGAAAAGGAAAAATTAGTAACTTCTACCAAGCTTCATAGACCTCTCCCACAAATATCACAGTCTCTCTCTTTCCTCCCTGTTTTTCTTTAAGAATAAAGTCAGTTACTGTCATCTCTACACACTTTGGATGGCTTTATAGTATGTAGATGGAGTTTCTGTTCTGCATGGTCCCACAGAATCCAAATAAACACACAGAGGTTTACATTAATTATAAACTGTTTGACTGATGGCTCAGGCATCTTACTGGCTGGCTATCTCTTAATTATTAACCCATAGCTACTAATCTATGCATTTCTACATGACTTTATCTTACCACAGAATGCCCAGAATCCTAGCTTCCCAGCAGCTACATGGCATCTCCCTGGAGGCTCCTCTCTGGTCCTCTCCCCCAGAATTCTCCTCATCTGGTAGTCCCACCTATACTTCCTGCCTGGCTACTGACCAATCAGTGTTTAATTAATCAACCAATAAGAGAAACATATGTACAGAAGGACATCCCCATCAATATTAGCCTCATGAAGGGACATTGAAAGGACCCTCAAAAGCAATGAATTTATTTCCCTTTTGGGAAAGTGGTAGTTTCTGAAAGGGTTCTGCTGGAAGCAGAGCAGATCACTGCCCAATCAGAGTGAGGCTTCCTCATGGCACTTGCGAAGAAAGCCCTGTTGTTTTTCATTTTGTTGTTGTACTGATTGTAGCATTCAGAATTGTACCCAGAGTCTTGCGGTCCTAAGCAGCACCCTTTCGCTGAACAGTGTCTCCAGGTCAAAGCCCTGCTTCTGCAGGCAGGTGCTGGTTTCTGTTTGGTGGATAACTATTCATAGGTGCCTCTTCGGTCTGACCCCCAAGTATGTGGTAAAGCAAAGAGCCAAACAGTGTTTACGGGTTGAAAATGTCAGTGCTGAAATGTGGGGCGCAGGCCTTCCATTTCTCCTGGCTGAGGATGAGCTTGCATGCTTGGTACTTGAGCATGGGTGTGATTCTAGCATGGTTTTGGAGTCCTAACATGGTTTCTGTCTTTATGCTGTTCGTGAAGAGTGGTGTGTTCTGTGGTTGAGAGAAGACAGGTTTCCCATTTCCACTTGGCTGGGTTTGTAGACTCAATTCTGAGATCTATTAGCCTGAGACACTTGGCTCTGGCTTGAGAAGCCCCAACTTGACGTTCTCTGTCAAGTCCCTACATTAGTACAGTCTAAGGAGCCTGTGTGAAAAAACCAACCCATGCATCCGCTTCTTCAGTTTCCTGAAAATAATGTGCATAACTTCTAAATATGTTTTATAATAAAATGAACATCAGTTGAACTATCATCCAATTTATGAAGTAGAAAGAACCTTTCAAGCTATATGCCTTATCAGAGTTACTAACTTGTTATTGCTTTTAATGCAATAGAAAATTAATATCAGGATGTATGGAAATAGGCCAATGCATATTGTGTTGTCTTAGTTGTTTCATATACATGTATTTATGCATATACCCAAAGATAAGAAAGAGCGTAAAATACTTTTCTTTCTCTCTCTTTTGCTTTGAGACAGAGTCTGTGCAGTTCTGGGTGGCCTGGAACTTGTCATATAGACCCGACTGGCCTTGAATTCATAGAGATATCCCTGCCTGTGCCTCCCAAACACTGGGATGAAAAATGTTCATCATCACACCCAGTCTTTAAACTGTTTTGTGTGTGTGTGTGTGTGTGTGTGTGTGTGTGTGTGTGTGTTTGCTTTGTCTTTACTGTGGGCAGACAATATTGAGAAAAACAGAACTAGAATATGACTAGAACTTGTGATCCTTTTACCATTCCAGGGGTACCATCCTCCCAGTGTTCATGGTTTCGTTTTCATTTTCTTGCCCTAAAAGTTTTACTACATATAGAAATTTGTTTTATTTTATATTTTATAGAAAATCGTGTTATGAAGTCTTCTTTGACTTATTCTTTTGTAAAAATTTATTTTTCTTCAATATTCCTTTTGTTGTTGTATAGTATTTCACTGAATATATATCTAGTACACAATGTATTAGCCATTTATTGTGTATATCTGAGTGTGTTCTCTAACTTTAAATTTTTCTACTATTCTGAACAATGCTATTATAAATATTTATCTATGTCTCTCAGTTGCCTTGCAAAGAATTTCTCTAGGGTTTTATGTTATGCAAATGTTCAGTTTTACAAGATAATGACTATATGTTTTCCAAAGTTACTCCTTAGTTTTGACTCTCACCAGCATGGTATAATGATTCTCAGTTTGCCCCATATCTTTGTCAACACTTGCTAGTTTCAAACGTCTTGCATCTTGCCCATTCTCTATAATACATCTTCAGTTTTTATTTTGTTTCTTCCTGCTTGCATATTTCATTCTGTGAGCATGAAATTTTAGTAAAACAGCATGGAAATTTCATTTAGTTTTAGTTCTTCTTTTACATTGCTTGCCTAAAGCTCAGGTTCATGAATGGCTTGAACTGGTCTCTTTCTCTTTGTACACAGACAGTGCGGGAACGAAAGAAATCAAACGGACTTTACTTTAGAGACGGAAAATGTCGAATTGACTACATTCTTGTGTACAGAAAATCCAACCCTCAGACTGAAAAGAGAGAAGTATTTGAAAGGAATATTAGAGCAGAAGGATTACAAATGGAGAAAGAGGTAAATAGGTTTTTTTGGCATAGGAACACATACACACACATACCACGTTGTGTGGGCAAGCACACACTTACATATACACATCAAGAATCAGATTTCTAAATGAGGTTTTGGCATGCTAACAGGACATTTTATTTAATTAGTTTCCCTGTTTTCAGTATTTGGGGATGTTCCATGTATTGGGCTTTTGAAGCACATTTTACCCTTAAGAGTACTTTAGTGTCTAATGACTTCATGATAAAATATTCTGTTCCAATTAACCGGGTTGTTTTAAGATATGATGACTTATCTGATTTCCCACATCTGCCGCTGTTCTGTGTCTATGACTGAGGGTTCTAGTTACACTTGGTAAAGAAAACTGAATAAAATGCCATCAGCCCCCTCTGGAGGCCATGGTTACATTTAATGGTCTATAATGAACTTAGGCATCCTTGCAAACCAGAAGAGATTGGCTTTATGGGGGAGGAGGAGAAACCACTTGGCGAGAATTTATTAAAATGGTTCCAGTTTAAAAAAAAATATTCAGATTATTTCTTACTGGGTTCCCAGATCAACCGTTAGCTCCCCTCCTGCCCAACCTCCTCCCTGTCTTCTTCGCATGGAGAGTTTTGCAGAACTAAACAAACAGGAGGCTCTGCCAGGTCTCTGATAATAGTCCCCTGGAGACTTGTACAGCTAGCACTGTGTGTGTGTGTGTGTGTGTGTGTGTGTGTGTTGTGTGTGTGTGTGTGTGTTTTAGCTGAGTTATGTAACTCTTAGATTCCCCTAAACATTGTACGATCAATAAGAAATACATCCTAACAAATTAAAATGTCTACTCTGCTTCTCAAGGCTGAGTTATAGATCATTGAAGTCAGACAGCCAGGATTTCATTGCTCAGAGGCATCGGAATAGTGGAGGCATTTTACACCCACACTGGTTGTGTCCATCTTGGGAGACAGTGGGTAAATGGGACTTTCCCAGGCTTGGTAGACTGACCTCATTCCTTGAACATTTTCAGTGCATAAGCAGTATGTCTCTGGAATGTCTCCAACAAGAAGTTGGGGAAATGATGAGAAGAGTGTTGCCTGGGAGAATCAGTTCTTATCCCAGGGGACTGGACCAGCTTTCCCTTTCCCTTCGCACAGCAAACAGAATTAAATGTTGCCTTTTCATTGTCTTTGTGGCATTCCCAGAAATCCTTCCTATGCTGATCAACTGAGCATAGCACATTGCATTTTTTCTTAACTGGCCTTGCTTTTTGTCCTATAGTCTTACTTCTAAGTGGCAAGATTTTTATATGAGAAAAAGAGAAAGATTATAACATCAGCATAGTGTGAAATAATGAAAGTCCCTTCTGACTTTGTCAAAATGTTGATTCCTATCAAAATACAGAACCCTGTGCAATTAATGAAAGATTGGTATTTTAAGCTTCACGACTATTTTTCCCATTCCCGGGGCTTCCTCTGCATAGCCCATTTCAAAATCATTTCATGACTTATTCATTCAAACTAAAAAAGCCTAATACTTTTTCAGATATGTGTATTATTAAACCGCATACCAGCCTTCCACGTGTCTCCAAACACGGGCACTGCAGTATGTAGCTGCTCTTAGTGGACCTGCCGTGGAGGCTTGCTCAGCCTGCTCTACACCTGCAGCATGCTGTGATGTGTGCCCATGGCGTGACAGGTGCATTGCTTGCGTGGCTTGCCTTGTACACTAGCTAACTTGTTATTAGTTTTAAATACATTCATAGCTACGTATTTATTTCTAAGTGTATCAGAAAAGAAAAGGTGGCAAAAGTATTACAGCATAGCAAAACGTAAAAACAAAACACCCTAAGCATTTTTTCTCATTGCCTGCTTTTCTCCTGTGGACTGTAGCTTCCTTGCTTCCTCACAATCCTCTGTATACTGGCAGCAGGCAGGCAGGCCTCTTCGGGGAACCGTTTTTCCCAAGCAGCCTTTGGCACCAGTCTTGCTCTAGCTCCCACAGTCAGCATTAGTGGTACAGCGTATCTCTAATGCGGCATCTCTGCTCTCTCTGCCTCTGCCTCCCCATGTCCTCAGCACTAGTGGTACAGCGTGTCTCTAATGCGGCACCTCTGCCTCCCTGTGTCCTCAGCTGTAGTGGTATAACCTGTCTCTAATGCGGCATCTCTACATCCCCATGCCCTCAGCCAGCTCGGAGAGAAAAGAGGGCAGTACGAAGTCATAAGCGAAGTCAAATGACCTGAGGCATCTTTACTTGTGTTGTGTTATTAGGCAGGGAAGCTGTCTGAAGCACTCTTCTGTAAATCAGGTGCTTTCCTGACAGTCCCTGTAGAGAGACAACCATTTTAACAGTAAATCTTGCTCCTAGGAGTTAATTCAACCTATTATAAGCAAAGAATGAAAAAGAAAAGTAAAAGAACTTCAAGGAACTTTCCATAGATCCACGCACATCTTAAGTGATTGACACTAAGTACTATTTTATGAATTACTAGTATTATTAGGATCTTTGTCCCACATCCAAAATTGTGGAAAAGCTATTTTTGCAGAATGGAGTTTGAGTTTCCAAATGGTTAAAGATGAGCTTTGTAGTTCAGTGTAACACAGAAATCCCTATCTCCTTTACATTCGAGGTCTAGAAACACAGGATGATCCTTGGGAATGGAGAAAGTGCTTGCTGTGAAAGCAAGAGGTCCTGAATTCAGATCCCCCACAGTCATATTAAAATCTGAGCATGACTATGTATATCTGTAACCTCAGTGATGATGGGGGAAGAATCAGAGACAAGCATATCCCAAGAGCTTGCTGACTGGCTAGTTTATCCATTAACTAATGGGTGGGTTGGGAACTCATTAAGAGACCAAAAAATACGGTGGAGAATGACTGAAGATTGATCCCAATATTGAGCATGCCCACATACATATATACACACATGCACATATATATATACACACATGTACACACAACAAACAAGTGAAAATCTTCAATTCATAATACATGTGAGGATATCATATAAAAGTTTAATAACTTTGTCAAGGTTTCTACACCCTGGGTCTTTAATAAGCAGTAACTAGAATCTCATATTATCCAGAGAAAGCAATTTATAGCAGTGGTCTCAAAGTCCAAGTTAATTTGTTTTTGTACCTAATTAAAGTGATCCCCTTCTTAAAATTATGTTCATATTATTAATTTATATTTCTCATGTCTAATTCTGTTTCCTGTTGATCTTTGCTGTGTATTTGGATCATCATTGGTAAGGACACATCTTTCCCTTGGTATTATTACTTGACTTGTGGATACCTTGAAACCCATAGAATGTGTAAGGAACAGTTGTAATCATGGAACATGGCGCGTCTTCTGGTCCCATTAGTCATATGGGACCTGAGAGAAAGCCTCTATCATTAAAGTCATTATAAAATAATTCTAATTGTATAAATGAAAGCATCTGGACAATATGCATTCAGCAAACATTCTTTGTACACCCACCCTGTGACAGCCCTGCTGTGAACACTAGGAACTTAGTAATGAAGAAAGACAAGAGTCTTTGCTTATGGGAGAATCGAACACAGCATAAATAAGCAGATGTGTGAAATGCCTGCAAGGGAAGGAAAGCAGGATGTGTTGAGAGGGGCTGCAATTTTTTTAGCAGTTGCCAAGGTTGGGCCTGTGCCCCAGACAAACAGAAAGTGAGAAGGTCCTGAGACAGGACCTGCGATGAGGCGGGTGTGACTGGAGTTAAGCAACGCAAGAGACGGAAGCGCGTGAGGAAGGAACGTAGCAGCCGAGGGGCAAATGTTACTTTCATCCCCCAGACATGGGGTGTCATAGGAAAGCTTTGTCGGAACAGTGTAGAGCTCTGTTTTCTGTTTCCTGAACTCACTCTGGCTGCCTGCTCTAATGAGAATGGCTGGGGAAGGGTGGCATGGTGGGGGAAATCTAGAAGATTTGTTGTTAAAAGCTAAGAAAGAGATGATGGTTTCTTGGCCAAGCATTTAGCAGACAGCATAGTGAGAAGGCTCAAAAGTAGAGTCGGTGGAAATGCAGACAGATTAAGTAAACAGTTTAAGAAAAGTCAGCTAGGCATGGTAGCAAACACTTTTAATTCCACAACTAGGGAGGGAGAAGCAGGTGGATCTCTGTTTTCAAGGTCAGTCTGGTCTATAGAGCGAGTCCTAGGCTTTCCAAAGCTATGTAGGGAGACCCTGTTAATACATCATTCATATATATACACGTGGGGAGGGCTCAGTCTTATGCTACATTCTGTTTATCTGAGAAATCAGATGAAAGGACTTTTCCATTTACGGGAATATGGAAAAGAATGGATCTCATTGTACAAGTCTGTGATACTGTGATGTCTGTGACATTACAGTGGAAACACCAGATAGAAAAACCTAGAATTTGAGAAGTCCAGACTAGAGGTATATACTTGGAAAAGTTCCCCCAGACGGATGTCTACAAATAGAGAACAGGCCCAAAGATGAAGCAGAGGACATACCAGTGTTTCAAAAGTGGAAGATAAAGAGGAGCCAGGAACAAAAACTAAGGAGAACTAGAAAGGAAACCTAGGGGCTGTGGTGCATGAGAATAAATGTTTCAGAAGGGAGGTAGCAGTAGGTGATGTTGGAGTAAAGAATATCTAAGAGAATGTGAGTTATTGGATTATCAGTGTAGGGTCTAAGTGAACCAAGAAAGACATTTCACTGGAGAAGTGGAGGCAGAATTGTCATTGAAGGATTTTAGGTCCTAGCTGCTTTAGCCCCTTCTGGTGACTCCTCAGACATCACCAAATCTGAAAAGTAAAACACATACAACCAGTCTCCAAAATGGCATCAAGAAACTCAGGTCACCAAGATAGGAATCTCTTAAGGGACTCAACTCCAAGTTTCTGAGAAGTCTGCATTTTTTTCAAGAACTACAACAGGAAGGGCATACATACAAGCACACACACACACACACACACACACACATATACACACACACAGTAATAATAACAAATATAACTTTAAAAGTTAAAATGTAAAGTCACAAAATAGA